ACTGTTTCCGACAAAGAAAGATTGTTATAAATTATGACGCGTGACGCGCGCTTCAAATAATGCGCCCATGAGTAAATACTTTAATGCTTTCGCATATCGTCACAGAATATAATTTTAAAGCCCACCCGCAGAAATAAAATCGACTAAAATACACGCATACAAAATTCATATATATATCGGAAATTTCAAATAAAATACTTGAATTTTATATGTAAATTGTAAAATTTTAAAATCTCGATGACAAAAGTTCAAATATGAAAAAAAAACTTTTCAGAAATGTTGAAAAAGAAAAGTGGGTCGGCATCAAAAGCGGAATGACATGTTTTACTATTTTACTACCGTTTACGCTTCTCACTATTCGCGGTTTTGGTCACCGAACATCATCCTCTTTCTTGTCCTGCGCAGCGGATTTGTTCGAATGTCCGCGGCGCTTTGTATTGCTACCGTGTATAGACAACTAATTTCCGCGGATTAGCGAGGAATACGAGAATCGCGAGATATTAATTGCCCGTGCCGAATTATCGATGACTGTCGATGAAAACAGCTTCGTAAGTAGTTGGAAGTTGGATAAAGCTGAATAATGTGTCATTTAATCCAATGCGTTTTTCCGTTCCATCTGTAATTCTAATATTTCATACATTCACATAAAAGCGATATCGGAAGAAAAAGTACCAAATCAAATTTATTTTTTCGAGAAATATCCTAAATTATTTTAACCGTCGAGCATTCATTATTTTAACCGTCCCTCATTTATTATTCGATCGCATATCACGTTTCTTTAAACATTTTAAAGTGACTAACTTTCGATTTGTTATATTAAACCTCTGTTAATACGATCATGCTTCACTGTTAGCAATTCTGGCTGATACATCGAGTTTGATAAAATAAAATTCTACGTGTAAACGAAACGTTATTTTGGCCGCTTCATCCATTTCGATCATTTCGAATAAATTCAATATTATTTATATCGTACGCGTGTGATAAAAAAAAAATTGTCGAATCTGCGGTTGGCAGAAATGTAGGCTAAATATATGCTGCGTGATTTGATGTAAATAGTAATTAAATCGCGTATTAATTTGTTTAAAACAATATTGCAGTAACGTTAAGAGCGATGCCAGCATTTTTCCAGCTTTCTTTATCTTTTCGTACATTTGTTTACCTGCATTGTCTACAAGAAGTATGAATCTCATAATTCTCGCTAACAGTCAAAACAGTTTCGCAACTTTCTGCCGCTGAAAATTATTTTTCCTTTTTCATATTGCGGGTATCTTATTACCTTCTCTTATTATCCCGAATATCGTATCCGGCACATATTTCGTTTTAAACCCGATCGTATCTGCCATGTTTTCGCGTTGTTTAAAATCTCCCTGACATTTACACGATTTATGAAAGAAATATTAGCCGGTATCGGATTCTTGTATCACGTTTGCGAGTTCTTGCTGGCATAAATATTGCTACACGATACGAGACGATGTAACGACGTTAAGAAAGAAATTCGAGCTTACGATTAATCGATGAACTATGACCTGTACAACATTCTCGCGTAGAAACGTGTCAATGTTTTAGGGTTGTTAAAATAATTATGTAAATATAATCGTAGTAAAATGACATATTAATTCGAAATCATCTTTAAATAATCCTCGGAGGAAGCTGTGTGAAATTTACAGGTACATGTTTATTCAACTAACCTCGCGGTTTACAACATTTATTAATTCATGTACAAGTTATTAACGTAGTTTCTCGACTCTTACTAGAAACAACTTATCCTGTATAACGCAATAAAACAAAACTTACAATTAAACAAAGTGCTGCCTTAAGGCAGATCCGACCAACAAGACGAAGGAGCTACTATTTAAAGGTGCTATACAGCCCATACATCTCGGAACCGACATTCCAAAACTCCTTAGACCTTACCAATCGCCCACGACTCTTAATGAAGGATGACACAGTGAAAGACGACACAGTAGAGAAAACGACACAGATGAGTGAGCTTATTACAACACAAATCGACTCCAGACAGGGTAAAAAACTAAAGCTAATATGGCCTAACCTAATCTAATCTAATTTTAATTATTCTTATCCGTTCAAGTTGCGCCAGTCTGCGCTCAACGTTTAAACGCGGCCTACCCTACATCCGACCCGAGGCGGCTCGAAGCGGAGGCGGGACTCACCTCCGCTGCTCCCACGTTGCAGGGCCCGGGCCACTCCGCGAATCCGAGTCGGATCCTAACAACGTAATTCTCGTCTCAATATGAACAAATATAATTGCCACTATCCTCAACAATCATCCGCGGAAATCTCGGCAGTCTCGCAACATCCGACAATAAAACACATATATGAAACTCTGAAACACACGTAGAATTCATAAAGCACGATATTTCACACCGGATATTTACAAAAACTAATCGAAACTTGTGCAAAGCGCCGAAAAGGCGCATCCGCACGGCTCAATGCCCGCGGCCGACCACGAAGTTATTAATGTACTGGGGACCTAGTTCGTTTTTACTCCTAATGAACCCCCGTACTTGCTTACACTTTGAAAAGATGTGTTTAAAAGGAGGGAGAGTGCACTTAAGCGCTGATTGCACTGTGTGCACGCTCACCTAGTTATGCCACTGGCCATAACGCCTGTATTTATGTAATTCAGCGTAAATTTTGTGGTCTAGGTACGTGAAAATATAATGCAAACATAACTTTACCGTTAACATTTCAGTAATTCAATATTCATAGACACATTCAAAAACAATATATATTCGTGAAGTAAAAATAAAATGCCTAAATTTTTCAAAATTTGTTCCTTGCTTTTACTTACAGTAAAGAAAATGTTTAAATATTTCTATTATACATATTTTTTGTTATCTCCAGTATCGAATCTCTTTTATGATGGATATCAGTTCAGTTCTATTGATACAGGAAGTTCCAAATTAAATTATCCTACGTGAAAGTCGACAGCAAGAGCCGAGAAGATGAAATGATGTGGTAATAAAGACATTATGCATGGCGTTAATAGATAAGGAAAAAGTTCAGTCGCCAGTTAATTGCGCTCGATTACATCAGGTTTTTGCACTTTGTCCTCTTCCGAACGTAATCGCCGATCTCTTTCTCTCAAAGTGTATTAATTTACATACTTCTTTCGCACGATCATGAAGTTTTCCATGCAAATCTCAGATTATAATCTAGAGCTTTGTAAGCATCGCGCGCTTAGTGCTTCGTGTAAGAATGCAAGGCTCGATACCTCGTGGTGGGTTAAATATCGTGGGTTATTATACTCTGCATTTGTACCTTGCACAGCTGAGGCATGCTCATAATAATACAATCAATTTAACGCGGCGGCACTATAACAAATGAATTTTTATTCGATGTAACTTGAAAATATTACGAAATTAATTTTGACGTTATCATTAAAGTCGATATATTCATATTAAAAAAAAAAAAAACAAAGCAAGAAACATGTTAAACAAGCGAGCTCGTTTGCTGTATGAATGCTCAATGTGTTCGGCGCTGAGAACATCATCATTCCCGTTGAGTTGATAAAAATGTTATACCAAGACATACCACCGCCTTTATTCAAATCTGATGACTTTAAAATCGTGTGGACGTCCGGGCACCTCGACACACATGGGCTAAATGGGCTGCGAGACCTCCTGGGATGTCGGAGACTAGAAACCGTTCTATGGATATCTTAATATACATTTTGTCAAAGTCTAGGACCAAAAGAATTTCCTGAATAAAGTTATATTGGATTCTAAGCAAGCACTGAGACTCCCTTAATCCATCACTGGCGTCAAATTGGATTATGATATTAGAAATAAATCACGGCGGAGCTTTTCCTTACACAACGTACCCCGAGGCAAATAATTTTTCTTACACGTTACTGCGAGCTATTTAAACTATAAACTCTGCTGGGCGCTCTACACAGAGGCTCCTTATATTTTACGTTTTCCGTCGCGTAATAGAAATAAGGCGCAACATATACGATCACACTGTTTCCCGCCTCGTGTAAGAAAACAGCGCTACCCTGAGGGCCAAATATTGCGGCATGGCGTAACTTCGCCATGGGACTTTGATACACAGCTGCCGCCGTGCTTAACATATTCAATTTAATACGGTAACACCATGGAGACTATACTTAATTTGCATCGGGAGATTCGATCCGAGAGTAGCGTACGCCCTATGGAACGAGAGCGATCAGGATGATTGGATATACAGATGGTACCAGAAGTCGCGCACGTATTCCGCAGCTACAGGTTTTCTGATGAAGTTTACGTTGCTCGTTTCTTAACGAACGCTCTATAGGTTGACTAATTAATCGATCATTGACAGAGTGAGCGAAAATATATCTCTTCAAAATAAATCACAGAGTTTAATTAATCTTCCTCGATTCTTTTCATTAAAGATGAAGTACCAAATTTAAAAAAATTAAAAAATCAAAGATGTCCGAATTTTAGTTTAAATATTTTAGTTTAAATTTAGTTAAATTAAATCTATTAATTTTATAATAGACAAAAAGTTTATTAAATTTTTTACTCCTGATAAATTTATTCTTCTTTTTTTATTCTTTTATTTTTGTAGTGACCGATTTAATCATAATATTATCTCATTTAAGAATATGACAGCGTATCTCGTTTATATAATATATAGCGATTAATATAAGCGACCCTAGAGACTCAATTAGAATTTATCTATGTAATACAGGGCTTATCGTAGCGGGAAAGTAATTTAATTAAATAAGTTGATACTTCTGTCGTAGCTCTTAACGAAATTGTTTTACCAAGAAAGAAAATGTCTAGGTGCGGTCTTGGGATATTAGCTGATAGAAATTATTTGTCTAATTTTCTTAAGACTATCTTAGTCCCGGGATAAATTTCGCGACCCGGTCAACGGCCTCTCTCTCTCTCTCTCTCTCTCTCTCTCTCTCTCTCTCTTTCTCGCTTATGAATTTACTCCGCACAAATATGATAACTCATGCGATTCTTTTTAATGGAGTTGTTCTTTCATAGGTCTAACGATCGATCTCGCCGGTGGACGGAGGTAGGAAAGTCAGAAGTGCGGAAATCGCGAGGAGAGAAGACGGAACACGCGGGCATCGGATGGAGAGAGGAAAACAGGTAGGTTGAGAGACGGCCGATCACACGGACGGCGCGTGGGACGTTAGCCCGGAAAAGCGAGGCAGATCGAGCTTCTTCCGGGCGAGAATTGAGATGTAGTCGAGGGAAAGGTGTCCCGTTGTTTAAAGAGCGCGCAGTCGGTAGATTCCCTCGAGGGATCCTGAGGGATAGGTAGGATGAGCGCGAACGCGAGAGGAAGCGGCGGAGTTAGAGGGTCGCTCGGGTAGATTTCGGGGATAGATACCGGGCAAAGGCTGTAGGCCGTTTGCTATAGTGCGCACGTACCAGGAGACGAGAGAGAGAGGAGGGGGGGGAACAGGACAGGGTGGCAGGTTGGCAATAGCGAGAGCGAGAGGGTAGCGACGGAGGTCGGGGAAGGGCGAAATAGGGTGAGAGAGAGAGAGAGCGAAGCGGAGGGATTCGTGGTATAGCTTCGACTTTGGCCGTGCCGCAGTGGTATCGAGCGGCAACCCCACCTTTCACTCGGTCTCCTACTACCCCTTCCGCCGTGCTCCCGCCACCCTCCTCCCTCATTCGAGCCACAGCGCCGCCACCATTCCACCTACCCTAGAGAACATTATAGCGCTCTAGGCGCAAGTGCGCTCGCACGAAACGCCACGAATACTCTTTCCCACTTTTTTTCTCCTCTGTGTTGCAAATTCTATCTTTCATCTCGTTCTCCTTTTGCTCTATCCCGCACCCCATCTGCACTCCCCTCCCTCCCTGCCTTTCGCGGTGGTAAACCGTACCACGTGATGGTAGACTAGAGGTACTCTATTTAATGAACCACGTGCGCCGCAAAATGTCTCAAATATCGAGATCGGAAACGTGACTCGTTTAGTCCTTTTGAATGCGTCGTTTGCCGTAATAGCGGAACAATAAGGAAAGGGGACGGATGCGCGAATTTGATAGACGACTGCTTCACCGCAGCCGCTGATAACAGTAATGACATGACCTCCTTCGCGCGCGCGCTCGCCCTCGCGCAAGTAGAGTTCTTCTTCCTGCACCACGGAAAATTCTACTCTCTTCCGTGGGAAGAACATTCTTTTGGGACGACATGCATTTCACATATCAACCGTGCTCGTTTGAATAACCTTCCCTCGGGAATATCTTTGAAAATCTTACACTATTCAAAATGGTTAAAAGTATAATTTCGTGTTCCCGCGATGAGTTATTCACAGAGAAGGAGAGAATAGCTTTTTTCTTTCAAATTATCAGTTAAATCTGCGCGATACAATAAGCAGAAAAATATCGAGAGCTACGTAATTACGGATAAAAAGTAATACGTTGAAACGACGAACGAGTGTATAAATAAAAGCGGCACAAGAATAAAAATAAAATGGTCTTATCAGCGAAATAATACGTACCTCTTGCAGAGTATTGCGTTCTAGCTATTCCCGGCAGTATAATTACTTACAGTCGATTTAATTCAGTACGGTGTTGCTTGAAATATTTTTATATCACAACGCTTTACGGACAAACGAGCATCAGACAGAAACTGCCGGCAAAAGGAGTTTTGTTTTTACCGCGATAATAATCCGATTGACGTAATACCGCGCGTGAGGGGACAGTTGCGCTCCCTTCCCCCCTCTTTTTCTCTTCCTCTTTTTTTCTTCTATTTTAACATCTATTTTCCCGCTAGCAAAAATGCAGGTATAGGACCAAAAGCTAATTCTCTGCGGCCACTTTATGAAAGATGTCAACTAAACTGCCAGATTTTCTTTTATTTTTCTCTTTAAATTGTTTAAATACGCTAATTATTAAATTATTAAGAAATAATATATATGTGTAGAATAAATCTATAATTTATAAATTTATTTTATTATAAAACTTCACTATTTAAAATTTATTTCATGTAAATAATGAATTTCTCTCAGATTCTCTATTTTTTTATATTTAAAGTTTATATAAAATATTAGATAACATTTAGTTGATACATATGTTACGACACAAAAATCGATATCCTAGATCGTAGAAGATTAATTAAAATTTAGCAAGTCGGTACATATTATAGAAATGCAACACAGAAAACGATGTCACGAGCGTAATGTAGTGAAATATTCATTTGACATAATTTATAAACGACAGTTACAGGCGAGAATATATACGTTATCAAACTGCTAGAAGTAAAGTAAAACAAATCTGTTCGAAAAGAAGTTTCAATCATTTCATCATTAAATGTTATTATATATTGATCGCCTTTATACTTAAATATCGTGAAAAATGAATTAGTTTCGAACATAATTCCATTTCCAATATAAGCTCCTAAAAACATTTTACGAGAAATTGAAAAATCCATGGCGCAGCGGGTACTTGATCGAAGAATTTCGAAACAAAAAATAGGACAGCTCTATAATTTATGAGATTCACTTTAAGTATAGAACACTGTGTCTAAGGTGATTCTAACAACTTTTCGAATTTTCCCTTTGATCTTACCCTTTAATTTGGCCACCGTCGGATTTTCTCGAAATTATGGCACCGCGCCATGCTCACCCTCCGCTCACGAGGCGCACCGCGAGACACGAACCGACAGCGAAGCGATGATAGATAGCGGGGGGGAGATTTAAATAAATAAGTGCGCGCGCCAACCTCCGGTCGAGAATAGGTCTCGGCCAGTCGCGTTTTCACAGTAGCGCGGCCTTTCTGCCGATCCCATTGATTTTTTGTCGGTTTTTCGTCGCGAGCGAAACAGCATGCCGTTACACCGCTACGGCAATTATATGGCGCGTACGTTAAGTATTCACTACGTCGGCTTTATTATCACAGTCAGCGCGCCGGACTTCTGCTTTGCACACGTACCGCGTGTAACGAGCGTTGCGAGAGAAGAGTAGACTATTAAAAATTCATTTCTTCCCCAATATTGTTATACCACGCTAGATTTTATTCCGAGCCTCGATCGTTAATTTACAGAATTACAAATACAAATGTTAGTCTTTCCGCGAGAGACTGAAGATATCCCGGCGCTCATCGCGACCTCGTTCCACCATCAGCTCCTTCGCCCCTCATTGATCTACTTCATTTGTATCCGATCAATTTTCTGATTTACGATTCTGATTTATCAGCGTTTCCAAGCGTCAGAACTCAATTATGAAAAACAAGTCTACAAATACAAATGTTGTGATACTTCTTTTAGATACGTATATTAAAATAAAATTGTAATCTGTTAAAATGTTAAAAACAGAGAATTAATGTACTTAAAATATTTCTCTTGAATAATTTAAAGGCAAATATTAAACAAAGCAGAAAATAATTTCAAAATTGGCGATTTATTTCAGCAACACATTTTAATTAATTGATAACTTTTAATGTAATATAATAGCAATTTCTTTCTGCTAGTTATTATTACGCTTCTTAGGAACAAAGTATAACGAATTCTGTTGAGGAAAATAGAAATGCCGGAAGTTTCCGTAGTTCTATTCTTGCAAGGCAACAGGATTTACTAGCATAGTTTTCGGCTAGTCTAGGTTTATGAAGCTACAACTCTCAGTCGAAAACTTACGCGAAACAATTTGAAAAAAAAAAATACTAGAGATATTTTTCGAAAACTAAAATTTTAACGTATAGAAGTGTTCCGTGAGATATTCCCGCTGTAGTCGAGAAAACTTTTTAAAGTTAGTTGTACATTGCGTAGCCAGCTCCGTATGTGGATGTTTGTGCAACAATGAAATAACCCATAAAATTAAAAAAAATGTATTATGCACATTGCTGGGTGTCGACCGCATGTAACTTTGCATTTGAAAGTTAATTTACGCGAAACTAGCACTTGGTACGTAATTTTTGCATAACACGGTCCGTATAATCCGTTACAAATACTTCGTAAAAGTTGCAATCACTTCACAGAGCGAATAATATGTAAATTTATATAACCTGTATCTATAACGAAATAACACACCTTTACCACCCGCGCGATGGCACGTAGACGTAGCGAGCGGAGAGCCGTAGAATTTTCAATGCTAATTTCGAACATAGCCGCCTGTTCCGCGGTCGTTGCCTCGCGTCGACAAAACCATACTCCGGGACACTGTGCAAATGCAAGTGACCCCCTCCCCCCCCCCTCCCCCGCCCTCTTCGTCCAGGTTCGATTAAGAAGCAAAACAACGACCAAACATTGGCTTTGTATTCCTGATTAACGTCCCGATCCCTCCCATGATTCGAGCCCCGTGTATTAATACACGTTGGCGAACCTGGCGAACGGCAACACCGAGCGAAAAAGCTCGGCCCGTCATTCGCGTGCACCGGGAATTTTTGTTTTACTAATATTAGCAATTTTAACATGGCTGGCCGACTTTGGAGAGAGAGAAAGAGTGAGAAAGAGAGCGAGAGAAGGAGAGGGAGGAAGAGAGAAAGAAAGAGTAAGCCGCAAAGCAGATTACCCTGGGGCCAGAATCTTTTTACTTTTCTTCCCTCTTCTCTCGTACCTTTTTTGCTATCTTTTTTTTTTTTAATTTGTACGCTACTGTAACATTGTAGTCTGTGTAGTTGCAGCGTGTTCTTCGCGGCGGAAAAATCTTTTAAGGAAAATCAAGACGCGCAAAGACAAGGGCTAAAATCAGCGGAGGGAGATCGTGAAATTTCATAATGCAAAGGGCCCGGATGCGCGACGAACAAAACGTTTTAATTTAAACAAATATAACGTTTTATGAACACTCCATTTCGAATTATTCTTTTAACGTAAAGATATGTAAAAATAAAAAATAGAAAATTTATCTTTTTCCAATTTGTCGCATAAATTCCTAAAAGAGATTGAAATATTTTAAGTATTATTATCGTACTTTTCCTACATATTGATTGATTGCCAGCCGTGTGAATCGCGTGTGCAAATTCGGCTTCGGTGATGAATTCTATATTGACAGCTTGACATTCGGCGGTTAACCGCGCATCGAGAAGTGATTGATTGAGAGCAAATTATAAAAATAGAAAATAGAAAAAGAGTATTTTTAAAAGGAAACGCGAATTAATTAATAAGAGACAATGCATTGTACAGCAAACAAATGCTGTAA